CAATCAAGGAGACAGACTGCATATCCAACACAAGTCGTGTTAACTGCAGCAGCAGAGACAACAGCTATAAATCTCATCAAAGAACCTGAGAATTACTGACATGGGGCACAGTGGAAGAGGTCGGATTTTGAATTTTACGTGCCGGGTTCGAATCCGCTGAAGGAACAATCTTTATCTCAACGGTGAATTCCCTTGATCAAGGAATTAACCCCACGTTGTTCCGGTGCAACCAGCCGAGGGACGGTCAGTAAGTCGACGAGTTACAGAAAACTGGGATAACATTGTACTTTGATCTGGTCAAGCCAGAATAGACGAGATGTACGGCTATGCTGTCCGGTGGGACTTACCCCTGCGACTGCTGGCTGCTTTCCCCTTGACGCCCCTGACAAATAACTATCCATTGTAATACTCAGCATAAGGAGTAACCTCGATTTCGATTGGGTCTCAAGGCGGCTTGGAACTCAACCCTCATTTATCAATGATTCAAAATCGAAACACGCAATTTGTGGTTATATCATAAAAAGGAACGGCGACCATCTAGAAAAATGAACATTACAAGGATTCAAGCAAAAATCGAGAACAAAAAGACGACCAACACGAAATGAGCAGGGGTTCAAAAGACAGTAAACGGCCCGCTGGAAGATCGCCAGGTCGATGGCAGGATGAGTTAAAAAACTGCTCTGGATCAAGATGGATGAAAATGGCAGAAAACAGAAGTCTATGATAAATTCATGGAGAGGCCTTGGCAGTGGACGAAACTAAACAGCAATGACGCTACCATGAACGCAGAACATGTGATATGGATTTCATACAACTGACCCTCTGAAAAGCCGATAAAACAAAATACTATTTATTTTCAACAGAACTTCTATGCATCTCAGCAACCAATCAGAGTAATTATCGCACGGATCGTATATTCACAAATATTAAATTATTTCTTGTTGACAGAATAACTCTCATGCATAGATCTCATTAAAGAGTAATACGCCGTCACATATTCCTCAGATTTGCAGAAACAACCTTATTTTACCTACGTCTACATCTGCAAATTTGTTTGAAATAATTCAAGCAGACTTAATACCAGGTATTCGGCAAAAGCCATAACGTAGGCCGACCCGTGGCTATAGCTCTCGAGCTGAAAAATCAAAAATACCTGAGAAACGTACGGCATGAGATTGTTGGGGATATCTTGCGGGTCTTCACCAATCATGCCAGAAGAATGAGCTCCCACTGGGTTGAAGTAACGCAAGAAAACCATGTTCCAGCCCTAAAGCAAGCTCCAAAACTAGCTAAGAAAACGATTTAATTCTTTGTTACCTTTTCAGCATTGTAAAGATCCTTTAGAATTTCTTCGATAAAGTATTTAGTGTTTCCGTATGGGTTTGATAACCCGATGCCAACCGGATGACTTTCTGTTATGGGCAGAAACTGGGCCAGACCGTAGACGGTGGCACTGCTAGAATAAATAATGTTCTTCACATTCTTCTCCTTCATCACCTACAAGCAAATGTGAATATAGCAGACATGATGCATTCTGAAACCTTAGAAGCAACTTTGTTATCTGCTGATTTCACTCGATATATTTTATCTGAACTATGCCCAAAAGCCATAACCCCGTAAAACGATAAAAAAGCAATTCGCTTAATAAGGACATAAATCGTTCTGTTTAGCATTTAGTCTTACTGATATATATTTAACAGGTAGCAACATTTAGCTGAACTTGAATCCAGACAGTCGAGCTTGCTGGAAGACGACTGTTTGAAATGTCTTCTGCAGTTTGTGTCCCTGCAACCCGAAATGAAAGAAAAATGAGGTATGAATGCGATTCTAGTCATATATACTATAGGATTATTTCCCAAGAATTTTTAAGTCCCACGGAAAGTACTACCCGGACATTCTTTCAGTAGTAATGGTTTACTTAAGTAGTTTTTAAAATATTTCACGCGACTGCCTGAATGACCGGATCAAATATTAGTAATCAATATAATGTCAGAGTCTCCTGGAGAAAAAAAGTGGTCTCGATCGATCTGCGCCTTCTCGCCTGAAGAACGAAATCTGTAAAGTCACAGCCTTATCGACAGCCCATGCAGGAACGAGTTTCCATGGAATTAGGAATATGTGAATCGATATCCGCCATTAACTGGTTTTGCTGAATGCCGGTTATACTAATTACTAAAATTACTCAGCATTCTTATGAAAGGAGTAAGACGGATTGATTTAGAGAATTTCCAGCTGTGCCACATGCAGGGTTCTAGTCCGCGTGATCTATGCCTCATCTTACATTAATAAACAGTAACAAAATGCTAACTGCACTCTATGACAGCGAGCACAGAATGGCTCCAGCTGAAATACGTAAGGTTTCGCATGGCAATATTGGGTCCCCGCAGAGTACCTACGTTTACAACTCATACACTAACCAATAGTTTCATAGCTGGGGAACTCCTAGCTTAGACGTAAAGCCAATATATTATCATAACTCCAACGAAAGTCTTTGATTTCAAACTGCAACCTGCAAATTGTAAAGTGATTGAACTACTGCGTGGACCATGGACCACATCACCTGCCGGTTTGGACAAATGACTGTAGTGCCGCCCTTTGCAGAAACGCGCACGAGTTAGATTATGTGTTGCTAAAAGGCCGAAAC